TAAATAAGTAATTAAATAAAAATAAATTATAATTTTGAAGAAAATGCATAATTAAATACTAATTTAAAATCATCTTTTCGCTGTCTTAACTCATAAACCTTTGTTCGCTCTTTATTTCTTATCAATCTTTCCTTTGTCTAAATATCTTTTCCGGTGTAAGCGGAAAACTTTATGAGGAACTTAATAGGAAGAAGATGAAAGTACTTATCTTTCACAAATGAAATGATTTTGAATATTTTTGGGAAGGTCAGTGGGATCAAACAATCTATTCGAATAAAGTTGCGATTTCCATTTATTTCTGCAGTTTTTTTAGATTTCGATTTTCTACTACCTGATACGTAATATGTAAGTCATTTTTAATATATCACGCATTATTGGTATATAAATTGGTTAGACTCTTTCTTAATACATCTATTTCACCGATAATTAAAAATAAAAAGGAGAGAATTATCTTGTTTCTAAAAAACAATTTCATTAATGAAATAATTATTCTGCCAAGTTTTTAATTTTCTTGAAAACATGTAATAGACATCAAAAAAATTTACTTGACCGGAGAACACCTTGATTAATCATAATGCATTTTTATTTATCTTACATTAAGATTTGATTATTTCTTGCGTTTTGAGCAAGAGATATTCCATGAAATTCAAAATGTTAGAAAAATATATGCCTTTACTCTATGTAAATGAGATCTTCCACAGCTACAACTAATAAAATATTTTAATAAAAATCTATAAACTGGACGTTATTAATTTAATGTCTAGGAAAACTTCAATAATACTTTCCATTAGTATAATATTAACACCTTGAATGCCATGGGGGTCAGCGGTGACCGGCACTGAGATTGTTCTCATCGCGACGAGGGTCACCGGTGACCGGTGAAGCCAAGATTATTAGAAACACGTAATTGGAGAGAATTTGTATTTTTTAAAAATATTATTATTGTTACTGAAATGGTTTGGAGAAATTAATGCACTATAGAACACACAAAAATAGTTTTATTCATATACTATTTATGGATTTTATAAGCCTACGAATTGTTTAGAAATAGTGGTGGACAAAAATCTACTAAATTGAATTTATTAAACCAAGAATCACAATCGATAACTACCACTTTAAAATATTTATTTGCTGTAGGGAGCAAGTTGGCATCTCTGTTTCATAAATTAAACTAATTTTTAGACATATATTTACAACAACTTTCTTATTTTTACTAGATTTTTTATTAAATGACTCTTTCGTTTACAGGTTAACCTATATATAGTGGTCAGATCGGACTACTTATAAGAAAACGCGCGGAGGCTAGCAGTTACTCTAATCATCGCCAGGCATACAATTTAGTATGTAAATATATATTTCTTACTTTACTTTATTTACAAAAATTGGGCACCTGGGTAAATATATATATAAATGTACTCATACTAATGTACTCATACTAATGTACTCATACTAATGTGTGGTAGTTATCTTAGCACCAGTCCCACGAGAAGCTCTAACTAATTTATCTGAGTGATATATACAGGGTGTCTCAGTTAAGCGTTTCAGAACTTCTAAGAGGTTTAGGGGACATCCTGACGACTCGAAGTCATATAGCAATGTGGGGTCGGAAATGCTTTCCTGAAGCGGTGACGTACACAGAAGCACCATAAAGAAAAGAGACTGTAAGTGAAAAATCGCTATAATAATACATTGAAAAAAATTATATGGCACAAGGGCCAAAGTAAGTGTTGGAAGTTTCTGCCACCGGCTACAATATACACCTCACATCTCCGGCGCATGGACATTCGAACATTTTGCAATACTCCAGGCATATATCGCAGGCAGCTGCTGTGATTCTTGCAACCAGCATTATCAACAGGGGTGTCATAAACCAGTGTTTTCATATGACTCCAGAAATCAAGACGGTGATTTTTTTCGATGTATTATTATAGCGATTTTTCACTTACGGATTCTTTTCTTCAGTGTACGTCATTGCTATATGATTTCGAGTCGTCAGGATGCCCTCTACCCCTCTTAGAAGTTCTGAAACGCTTAACTGATCACCCTGTATATACACTAATATATATGTATATGAAGAAAAAAATATATAAAAAAGTGGTAAGCATATTTGTTTATAAGAAGTGGCTATTTATTTCTGTTAGTTGCAATTTTATTCTAAAAAATGCTCCGTACCTTCACTTCAGATCGAAATATATATATTTATTTTATTAAAATATCATGGTCTACAAAACTATCGTGATTTTAAATCAGTTCTTCAACTTGACAAAGATTATTTATTTAAGTTTAACCTATCCCCCACTCCTCCACGGCTATCTTAAGATGGCGGCTAAATTTCAGACATTCATATTAGGTGTAAAATGTACATCTTAAAACAATCTTCAACTTTCCCAGTTAGGTCAATGTTAAATGTTGTAGAAACAAGTTATTTTTGCTGATTTAAACAATATATTTGTAAATTAAAAAAAGCGACCCAAAATTTAAAATTATCGACCCAATGTCTAAAATTAAAATAATTTTTTTTTTAAAATTCGTGAAATATATTTGTCGCCACTTTTTAATTATTTCTGGTTTTGTCCACCATGTTTCTCCGACTTATATTCGTAATCGACTACGAATAAACCTCGAGAAAAGACCAGCTCTAAGTAGCGACGACTTTTTGAGAGGCACGGAATTTTTTCCACAGACTTGGTGTTGGAGAAAACCTCTCCCAGCTACCTCTAAGAACAACCAACCTCAATTAACGACCATTTTACTGTGGAACGGAGAGAGGTCGCTCCCGAGAGGTTTCACTGTATTTCGAAACTGTAACATAAAACTTAATTATTTCTTAAAAATATAATTCAAATTATGCTCTTTATCTCTATAGATCTGAATAATGGTAGTCGTAAAACTGAGCTTTTTTATAATTGTGACATCTTCGTATTTTATGAGATCTTCTGGAGGTAAGTAACTTTAATGTTTTTCAGTGAGTAAATCAGTATTTAAATAGCTTTAAATTATAATTTTATTTATTAAAATTAGTAAGTGCGTAGATAGCAACTTAGAGACATAAAAGTTCTAAAGTTAGAACTACTTGAAATTTTTCTTTCATGTTGTTCCAAAATAAAATTCGACCATTCTTTCAAGTGCAGATTTTCTAACTCTTTAAGTGCGGTTACTGTAAAGTTTTCTCGAAAAAGATTAAAACAGGTTGCTGTTGCTTACAAATGCCTCTTGCCAATATACGCAAACCTGCTTGAATTCAAGTAAATTTTTAAGGCAGAGAGTGTGCTTCTTGTTTTTCAGTGGCGCCATCTATGGCCAAGAATACGACTTTTCCACACGCATGTGTCACAACCTGTTATACAGGGAGGACTTATTCTCACACCTTTCAACCTTCTACTGATTGTAATTTTGACCTCAACAAGATAGCGAACTATTGAAAACACTATCTGACAGCCAGCAAGCCTATAATATACATATGTTTAAATTATTCAAATGTTATGGCAGTCAAAATCATTTTATACCGCATTTATTTAATGAAGAGCAAAACGAGATTCTATACATTTTGCCACCACATTAAATACAAATATAAAATCTTCCGGGAAAACCGGATGAACTGGCTAGTATGTTACAGTGTTATTTACAGGTCTCCTGTTAAAATATATGTGATGACTGTAAATTTTGCTTTTTAAATTGTTTTGGTGTTTGCTTCGATTTTCTTAAACCGTTGAAAGAATACCGAGAGCAAAGGTAATTATTTAAAAATAAATATTTAAAAAAATAATATTTCTGATATTTAAAAAAAAATGTACCTGCCAATGTACCTGCCAAAAATGTACCAAAGTTCGTTTGGTAAATATTCTGTAAAACTTTGCTTCAATTTAAAAATAAAAAGAAAATATGAGAATTAAATAAGTGGAAATTCTATGATGTTCAAAAAATGCTCTGAAAAAGCTTTCAACATTCAATAATTTGAAAACTAATGATTCTTAAACCTTTAGTATGCTAGTGTGAGCAAAATTTAAAGACGAAATAAAAAAAGCTAGCATATTAACAAAACAGTCTGATACAACAGAGCGAAAGGTCATTGAGAAGACCAATCACGGTAAAGTAGAAAATTTGCATAGCTGCATTTGCATTTGCATAGCACCATTTAGTAGAGGTCGTCCTGCAAGCAAAGGCAGCGGGCGACTAGTATATAGTCCTACAGGTTAAAAGGAACAAACGCTAACAACAGGAGAAATCGCTAGTCACACGCAGCAAAGTACTTGACTCCCGATATAGCGTTTCACTGTGACCAGGAGACTAAACAAGGGTGGTCGATTTGCACAACGGTCAGTACGGTCTGTTTCATTAACGACAGTTAGCCGGATATGCCGTTTAATGTGCTGCCGGGGGCACGACAATTGGACAGATGCGCAATGGGATCCAGTACTCTTTACGGATGAGAGCAGATTTAGTCTGACCAGTGATTCTGGAAGCATATACATCTGGAGAGAGTGAGGGATACGCAATAATCCCTTTAACATCATCGAAAGAGATCGATTTGGCGGAGTTCTTGTATGGGGTGGTACATACCTGCCAACTTTCACTCTTTCCGAGAATGGATTTTCAGAGTGGTTGTAAAACAATAAACGAAAAACAATCTGACTCAAAAATATATTTATATTTTGATCCCGTTGAAATTCGCTTGCGCAAGAATTATTATACTTTCGTATATTTATTGTAATTATTTATATGTAGTGGTGGTCAAACTCATTTACAATTATCATTATAATTCAAAAAGTTAATTGGAATAACCTGAGTATTGCTACCACTTTAATTATGAAAATAAAATCTTTCGGAAAATCCGGAAGAGTTGGCAGTCATGGATGGTATCATGCTTGTCAAAATTTATTAAATGCAATGCAAAAAAATATATTAAACTTAAAATATAATTACTATTGTTCGAATCTGTTGGAAACATAAATATTAATTTAAAAACCATTGATTGATTGATTGATATGAGTGGAATCTCGGTGTTAAGCGCGAAGCGCTTCTAACCGATTCATCTATACTGTTTTGGCATTTAGTCCAGAGGTCATATACAGTTCAAAGTTCTAAGTTTGGATCAGATAATAAGTCCATGATGAGGTGAGGCATGAGTTGATTCAGTAGTACATCAGTTGTATGGGGAATTCCCCTGGATTAAAGTTGTGAGAAGATGCAGTACGTCTTGGTCCTTCAGCAAGTCTTTAAGTTCACTGATGAGGCTAACAAGTCTGTGGGCTGTAGAAGTAGTCGTGTCCTTGGTCGTTTTTCTCTTTCGACTGGGACGGGCCTCGCACCCAGTGAAATTTGAGGTGTGGTTTTGCATGCAGTTGCAGCATTTAGCTGGGGAGTCTCGGCTCTTTCTGCACTGGAATGAATAGTGCCCTTCGGCACATTTCATGCATCTTGGGCTGGAGGAGCAGGAACGTTGGGTGTGGCCGAAACTCTGACATCGAAAACACTGCAGCGGCCGCCGGCCGCCGTGGTATTTCTCTATGCTGATCGGGATCTGCTTGATGCTCTCAATATGGTAGATCATCTCGTGATTGGCTAGCATTGGCATAACGATGAGGTACAGGGGGAGGGGCCTAAAGGCTTCACCCACTTTCTTCTTAAACTGGACTATTTTCAGGATTTCAATGTTCCGCTTCCCTAATTCAAGGGATATTTCATCTGTACTAAAATCATCAGGAAGGCCACGGATGAGGACTTTAGCATTTTTAACTGGCTGAGCTTTTTCTACTGAAGTGGAAGGCTCTGTGGCTTTGTTGGTAGTCTCCTCCGTAGGTTCTGATGCAGTAATAGGGGTGGGCTCCGGCATGAAAAGAGATTCCGGAGGAGTGCAGCTTTTCTGGGTCTTGGATGGGTCAACATTTTCTGTAGCTGCGGCAGACTTTTTCTTCCTCTTCTTTCTCTTTTTAGCTGGTGGCTCTTTGTT